TTTATTCTTTGATTAAAGATACATATAACTAGGTACTTTTTTTACTTCCATATATAAAATAGATTTTATATAAATTTTAAAAAGTCGAAATATCTCAAAAATCCAAAATCAATTTTGGGAACATGTATAATATAGACAAAATTAAAGGTAATGAGATGTGATGAACAAGAGTGAAAACAAAAATGTGATGACAATGAAGAGGATAAAAAAAATATGGTAACAATGTACATTAACAGCAAGTAGTAGTTTGTGTAATCTTGTTGATGTATTGAATACAAGACTTCAAAATAAAGCATAGTGAAATTATTTTTTGAATATTACACTATATTATTATGTGTAAAAATTGCATCAGTTAGTTATAATCTTTTTTCAGAAATTGATAAACAGATGATTAAATATCTTATTCCTATATATTGTCTACAGAACAGTTGAAAATTACATAATGTTTATATTTCGTTGTGAATCAAATAAATTTTGCAAGTAATAATGATAAGATAAATAAAATTTGATATAAATATTTAAAGTTATTTTTGTATCTAATAATATTTCTATATTTAAGATTTTATTAATTTTGATATAACAAATAAATTTGTTAAGAATTTATATGATGCTAAACAAAATTTATTAAAATTGATGATTGCTGAAATTGATAAAGAAAATATTTAGGAAGTGTGAAAAATTATAGATATATAGTCTGAAAATAGCAAATACTCACACTTCATGATAGTGATTAATTTTATTTCATATTTTTGTTTATACATGTTCAATATATCTTGTGGTATAATTTGTTATCATTATTTTCAAGTGATGATATATTCAAAAGTCACAGAATTTCATATTCAAATGATTCCTTTGTGATGATATACTGATGAACATAAAAACAACAATATAGTTACTGAAGTCTGCTACTTTATAAATAAAGAATCTGTGAAGAATCATTCAAATAAGATAACAACTCCAAATCTCTCAACTATACCCAAGTCTATGAAACATGTTCTATGTTGTGCAGCACAATGAAAACTTAAATATGGAGAAGTGTGGAAATTGGTATGACATGTAGCTCAACTCTCTATTGAGCATAACAATTAAGTGAAAAAATTACATGGTTAAAAGAATTTATTGAAAGTATACATGTTCCCAAAATTGATTTTGGATTTTTGAGATATTTCAACTTTTTGAGATTTATGCAGAATTTATTCTATATATGGAAGTAAAAAAAGTATTCAGTTATGTGTATATTCAATTAAAGAATAAATCTGGGTGGTCAAAAAATTTTAGGTTTTAAGTAAAATAATTTCATCTTCTATGAAAAACTATTTTGACTTTTTTTTCCAAAATTGCAATTTTGGAGTTCCAAAATAATTTTGCATGCAAGTATAATTGGAAGACAAAAAGAAATATCTGCTACGTTAGCACAAAATTGGGATCTTCAATTAACTGATCAACTCAAAGAAATAATAGCTGAAATTGGGATCTTCAATCAACCGATCAACACAAAGAAATAGTGACCAGATCAGTACTTCAAGAATCTACTGAAATTCAAACTGATGATGCAAACAAGGAAAATGAACTTGGATCAATCAAAAATCTGTTAGTGTCATGACAAAAAGGACGTCCTGAAACTAAACATTATAAATCGACAACTGAAAAAGAAAAATCACGTGCACATACATGTGGTACATGTGATCAACCAGGACATAATAGCGTGACATGTCAAAATCACTAGACATTTTCCCTGAAACAAGGTGTTCCAATTAGATTTATCCATAATTAAATATATTCTTTATTTTATATTTCAATCTACGGTAAACTTATAATTTCTGCTTTAATAAATTATAATAATTTAATATCATATGGTAATTTTAATATAATGATTTTTTTATGTAAAGGACATTAATATAGTTTAATATAGTCTAAATAATATAATCCAGTAAATAAAAGTAAAATCAAATAAATAAAATGTAATAATATTTATATTTTTACAATTTTATATCTCCTTCACTTATATCATTTAAAGATAATAATTCTATTTGACCTTGACTCTTAGTATCTTTTTCTATTATTTCACGAATATTTCTGTACTGTCCGGGATCAATTAAACATATCTACAATAAATAAATAAATAAAATAAATTACAATAAATAAATAAATAGGGATTTTAGATTACAGATTATCATTTACATACCAATTCATATTCATCTCCCCAATTTTCATCTTCAGTCTGAGAAATCACCGGTTTCAATTTTTCTTTAATCTTTTTAGTTTCCTTTGAATTTATCATTGTAATTCTTAAACGCATTTGAGCACGCGCAATAGGAATAGCTTTTTTCTCTTGAAGTTGTTTAATTACTTCTAAAGCCTATTTCATAAAATAATATATTAAATAATTGATATTAATAATCATAATATAAGAAACATCATAATATTAATTATATCCAATCAGTTAATATAATATTTATTACTTGTAACTTTGTACTCTTATTAACATTAACTGAAATATGTAAATCACTCATAGCCTTTTCAATCATAGTAACAGTATAAGGTCGTTTGGTTTCAGGATTTACACATTTATCCGCTACAATTATAGCAATTTCCCGATATGTGTGATCAATTTGGTGAGTTCTTTCTTTATCGCTAACTTGAAGTTCTCCTTTCTTTAAAATCTAAATATAATAAATATAAGAAATATATGTATATATAGTGAGTTACATCTCATATATTTATGAACGCACTAATATATAATATAAAACACACACACACACTCATTACCTCGACAATAATTGGATTTAAATCTTCAGTTTTAAATGCTTTTGTTAGAAGATCTTTTGGTGCCACTTGACCTTTGGAAACGTTTAGAAATACATTATTAATTTGAAGAACTTCATCTAAATCTGTTTCCCTACATATTTTGAAATAATCAATCAATGTATAAGTAAATAAAAATAAATAAATAATCTTAAATAATAATAATAACGAAATATTTTCAACCGCAGCTTTGATCTTTGATTGATTTTGGTTGAATCGAATTAATATTGAAATAAAGACACTTACACTCCATTTCTCCATTCCATTACCTTATTTTTATAACAAGCAATTTCAAAACGCTTGCCACCTTTTTTTAAACGAACTATTGAAACATTGGTGAGCCTATAATATTATAGAAAATTAGTTTCATCAATAATATTCAATAATATTCTTTTATATATTCTTTTTTTATATTCTTTTATATAAAAATAACGGAAATGTGAATAATCGTGAAATACATCCATACTTTATTTGATTACTTGGTTGGTTAATCGGCATCTTGAATTTTTTTTTTGAAAGAAGAAGTAATTGTTTTTTTGTAAATCACAATTGTATGATGTGTTCAAATGTAACTATTTTAATTAATTTTGTTTTTTGAATTTTATTTTTTTAAAAAGAAAAACTAAGAAAACTGAGGATACATCTGAAAATATATAATACTGATCAAACTTATTTTTTTTATTTTTATTTTAATAACTAATAAACTAGTGAATTTGGTGATTAAATTTTTTTTTGGTGGTTTAACATTAAGGGAGAAAAAAAACTTTGTTCACTGCAATTAATAAGTAAATTGCAATTAATTAATTTTTTTTTTTTAATTAATCTAATAAAGAAATAAAGAAAAACTAGTTAATTTTTTTTTTTTTTTTTTTGAAAAGAAAAAAGAAATTATTTTAAAAGAAACGCGAAATAAAATAAAGTGAAATAACACGAAATAACGTGAAATAAAGTGAAAGTAAAGTGAAAGTAAAGTAAGATAACGTGAAATAAAGTGAAATGAAATTTAGAATTTTCAACAATAAAACTAGATAAAACTAAACTATATATAAAAAAATAACACTACTTTTGAATTAACTCTGAATTAATAATGATTTGTTTGATTCAACCCGAATTTTCTATTTTTATCTTTTGTTTCTTCTTTTTTTTTTATTTTTATTTTTGTTTTTTTTTAATTATTTTTTTTTTCTTACCACTTTTTTTATCATTAAAAAAAAAAAAAAATAAGGAAATTCAAACCATCCACCACAAAAATTTGTTGTTACCATAGAAAAAAAAAAGAAAAAAAAACAAAACTAATAATAATAATAGAAGAAATATCACTAACAAAAAAAAAAGGAATCCACACACCCAAACCACAATCATCATACACATCCATCATTATTACTATTATCAATAATACATTCACTAATACTAATATTGTTATTAATAGTTATATCATTAATATCATTAATATCATTAACATTGATATCATTAATATTAATATCATTGTTTTCACTAATATCATTCACATTGATATCATTAATAATATTGATATCATTAATATTAATGTTACTATTTTCATAAATTTGACATATATCCATCATATCATTATCGATATTATTATTATTATCTAATCTAATTCTCTTTGCTGAAGGTTCTCGTGGTGATGATGATGATGATGATTTATTATTATTAATATTATTATTAATATTATTAATATTATTACTATTATTGTTATTATCAATATTATTATTAATATCATTGTCTTTATCATCGTTGCCGCTGAGATTGATATTAGCCACAGCTGTGGTAGTAGGAGAAATGGGAGTCGGAGTAGTAGAAGTAGGAACAGTAGTAGAAATTGAATTAGGAGTAGTGTCGGAAGCAATAGATGTTGCTGTAGTATCAGAAATATTAGATGTCGTGGTAGTATCGGATGACGATGATGATAATGATGATAATTTAGAATTTGAATTATTTGAATTAGAATTAAATTTGGTAGATGATGATTTCTTATCCATTCTTCTATATTCTGAAGCTAATTCATCCGGTTCCATATTTTCCACGTAAGCTTTTAATGTAGCATAAACTTTATTATTAAATCTAATATCATCATGATAAGATTTCACATGTTGTTTCATTCCTTTAAGATACATTTGATATTGCCAAAGTTCCAATGAAGGATATTTGGCGACAATCAAACAAAAGAATACAAATTCAATTGGTGCTAATTTATGTTCTTCGTGAAATACGAAAACATTATCCATAATCATTGTATCCAAAGTTTCAAATACAGTTTTAGCCACTTGTCTTAATGCCATTGGAACTTCTCGTGGATCTTTTAAATACTTTGTAATATTGTTATGAGTAAAACATTGTTTTTCGGGTTCATTTTCTATCATGTAAAGAGCTTGAGAAATTAATTCCAATGGTTTTCCTCTTCGAATTTCTATAATGTTGGAAAGTGAACTATAACTAGTATATAAATTTTGAGCGAAACTTACAGTCGGACTACTAATTGATGCAAGTTTCTCTAATTTATTGTTATAATAATAATATTATTAATTATGGTAAAATATAAAGATTTAACATAAAATACATAGAATATTTAAAAATTACCGACCAGCATTAGTTAAAGGCATTCCTAATTGAACACGACTAAAGATTTCTTGTTCCTGGGCCAATGTAAGATCCCAATATTCAACTAATTAAAAAAAAAGAAGAAGAGATCTATATTAACACACACGTAGAGATATATTCTCTCACACACACACACACACACACACACGTACCACACACAAATTCTGCACAATCAAAAATATTCTCTCTCTCATATTCAGAAAAACAATTTTCTCCTTCAAGACTATAATATTTTCTCGAAGATCTTGGTCCATCAGGGACTACATGCGGTATCTCGTTATCAAAAAATCTATTTAATAATTAATAAAAATATAGATAGATAGAGATATATATATATTATATTATATTTATATTTACAATAAAAAAAATAGATATACATTTATTTAATATTTGTTTAATATTTTATGTAATAATAAAATAAATAAGATGTAAATAAATAAAATAAAATGTAACATTACCTACGAATGGATGTTAATCTTTGTTTTCCATCAATACAAACACGCAATGTTTTGGTTGCACCGTTATCTTCCATCTTTTTGCAAGAAAAGATTACCGGAGGAACATAATAATTATTCTTAATTGAATCTACCAAGTGAGATTGTTTAATTTCTACAGTGCACATAAGTTATATGTGTATATATATATATATATATAAATATAATTATGATAAGTATAAAAATATATAAAAGTATAAGTATATATATATAAATATATTATGTATATATGTATATAAAAAAAAAATTGAATATTTTTTTATTATTATTATTAAATAAATAAACGATTTTTAATACTATAGTGGAATTTGAGAAAACTGGATATATGTATAAATAAAATGTAGATATTTATAAATTGTATAATAATAATAATAATAATATAAATCAAGTAAGGTCAGGTGATAGACAGACAGTAAATAATGGGCGATCGACAAAATACCTCTCCAGACAATATCTTTTTTATCGAAAAAAAAAAATGAAAAAAAATGATTATTATTATCATGATTGTTACGTAAAATAAAATATGTTTATCATCATTATTGCTGTTATAATTGATATCGATATCTTTATTATTTTAAAATAAATAAATAAAATAATTTATAATGAATTAACTAAAATAATTACCTCGTTGAAAGTCGGGTTCAAGATCAATTAAACCTCTTTTGATCCAACCATATAATTTGTATAAAGTGTGAGTAACATTTCTAGGTTTAGACAAAGCCTCATAATTGTCCATGTTTTTGTCCACGTTTTTCGATTACTTCTTAATTTCTTTTTATGGGAGATAGAAAAAAAATGAAAAGCGCGAAAAATAAAGAGTGTAAATTATTTTTTATTATAAATTGAGAAAGTAACGATTATAATAATAATGATTATAAAGACGAAGAAAGAAGATGATGAATATAGTAATGAAGTAATAAGTGGTGTTATTTAAGTAATGGTGGGTGATAATAGTAATATTTTGTAACAAGTAATAAGCTGGCTGATAGTAAATAATATAGACTAAAAGTGATAAAGTTAATAGTGTGAAAATATTAAAAGGTAAATTTTATTATCCCTTCTCAAAAAAAAAACAATCAAAAAAAAAAAAAAGATAATAATTAAAAAAATTAATGAGATTAGGATTTTTTTTTTGAAAATTAAAAAATTTGAGTGTATATTTTTATGTGTGAAATTTTTTGAGAGAAAAAAAAAAAGAAAAAAAAGAAGGAAAAAAAAAAGGGGAAAAGAAAAAAAATGGCACAAATTTATAATAAAATTTTTTGTATGACAGAAAATGTGACATCACAAACCAATAACTTGATAAAATGTTTTTTAAAATAATAATTAAAATAATTAAAATAAAATGATTATATAAAATAAATAATATAATATAGTAATATATATGATTTTATTTTATATATAAGACAACACAGTATTATTATTATTACACTATTACACTATTATTTATTATTTATTATTATTATTATTATTATTATTATTATTAGATAACAAAAGCAGGAAGTGGAATACAAATCAGGAAAATGGTAACAACAACAAAAGCAGTAAAATAGAAAAGCAGGAATTAAAAATAATATAATTTATATAATTTTTTTTTCATGATGTCTGATAATCATTACTATATTATTCTATATTATTCCATTATTTAGTAATTATTTTATTTTATTATTTTTTTTTTTTATTTTTTATTTTTTATTTTTTATTTAGTGTTATCTCAAAAAAATAAATATTTAAAAATATTAAAATGGTTTGGTGTAAGGAAAAAAAATAATTTTGAAGTATTTTAACTGAAATTAATTGATGTGTGTGTGTGAATATTGGTAAGTGTGTGAGTGTGTGAATGTTTATTTGGTGATAATTGGATAATTACCGGTTAATTGGTAATCGTTTTATCGTTTTTTTTTTTTTGTATAATTTATAATTGTTATAATAGTTATTACACTTAACATAATTACAATTCCTAATATATTCATTATATTACGCTTTATTGTACTTTATCATACTTTATTATACTTTATTACTTTATTACACTTTATTATACTTTATTATATTATACGTTAACTTATTATTATTATAAATTTATAATATATAGTAAAATTAACAATATAACATAATGAAAATATAATGACCAGTAACGTTCCAGCTTTTATTCACATACTCACACCAACATAATCAAACACAAAGAGATATTTACTCAACACACTAAAAAAAAAAAAAAAACAAAATACTCAACACAACACAAGAGATCGTCTAAAAATCATCCCAAATAAAAATAATAAATAAATAACATCCCAAAAAGAAAAAAAAACCACACACATAAATTACATGACATGACTACATTTGATTACATTTTTAAAATAATAATAATAAAAATAATGATAATTTTATTTCCTAAACAATGTATTAAAATATATCTCTATTATTATTATTTCATATAATACATTATAATACATTGGGATGATAAGAGAAGATGATAAGAGATTATAAGAGACAATAAGAGATAATAAGAGATGATAAGAGATGAAATGATAATTCTAAGTAATAATAGAATATTCGATTTTTTGTCACAAATTTTCTATAATAATAATTAATGAAATTAGGATTAATGTATGGAAATGATTTTTTTTATTCTAGAAATTATGCAGGTAATCGGTAACGTGCTAACCCGAGCTTATTTTTTTTCAAATTCATTCAAATTTATTCTTTTTATTGAACAGTTTATATTACACCATATAAATATATTTTTTAATTATTAGACTTATCCGTTATTTATTTTATTTTTCCCGAGAATTACAATAATATCAGTAATAAAATTTCGAAAAAAAAAAAATACCATTTACGTTTCAATTAACTCGATTAACTCAATTTAAATTCTTCAAAGTTACACTTGTATTATTATTAACTCTAATAATTATAATAAATTATAATTGGAGTATAATTTAATAAGTATAATATACTATTCTGTAATTATATTAAGTAATTATTCTAATAATAATTCAGCCTCCTTCGAAAGTAAAAAATAATATAATATAATATTGATTATTATTATTAATAGTAATATTATCAAGTATAATTCATAATTAGTATAATTGATAGTATAATTGATAGTAATAATAGAATAAACACTAATATAATATGAGAAATAATTAATAATTAATACACAAAATTGTATTACAACATCAATTATCACACACACAACAACAATTATCACAATTATTTGAATTATATTCTTTAAAAGTATTTATTAATTTTTTTTTTTTTTATCTCTTGTTTTACTATTTAAGAATAATTTTGTGGAAAATTTTAAATAATAAATAACAAATAACAATAATAGAAAAATAATTTGTAATTCTTTTGTGATTTCCTTATTTATCTGATACTTTTTTATATATGGAATGTAATTTAAACCTGAAACACATATTCTTTTGTAATTTATTAATTTATTACATATTACAATATTTAAACCCACCATTATTTATAATTATTAAAATATTTAAAAATCTTATTTATAATGTGTAACAATAAAAACCAAAGAATTATTAAAGATTATAGATTATTAAAGATAACATGGTTTGATTTTCTAAAAGATAAAATTAATTTATTTAATAAAGTTCTCTTTGGGACAAGCAAAATTCAATTATAGAAATTATAAAGATTAAAAGTTATTGTTATCTCTTATTTTGAGATTTTTTAATATTTTTAATAATTTAGTTTAAGAAAGAAAAATCTTTGTACAATTCAAAATAGAATTATATGGGCTGATTGCGGAAATGCCTAAATTTAAGATCTGGTGATGTTATTTTGGCCAATCATAATTTGTTTATTTAAAAAAAAAAAATCCTAAAAAACTCAATATTTTATTAAATCAACTATACTTAGACTACGTTTCAGCTTCTAAGTAAGGTTTAAGACTTAACTAGACTTTTGTTCATAATTTTCAACCCATCAACCCCCATTTTGTACTTGTTTCTTAATAATTACCCTATTTTATTTTATTCTTTTCTTGTTATTCGCTTATTTTACTAACAAAGAACAACTTTAACTAGTAATCAAAAGTTTATTATCAATATATTTTATTAACTTTATTAAGAAGCAACATTTGTGTAACGAGATAAATCAGTCAATTTTTGCAATTGGCCGATTTGATCATAATTGCATAATCCACGTGCAAATTTTTTACTTCAAACGTTTTTTTTTAGTCAGTCAAAAAAAAAAAAATAAAAATATTGTTTAAATATGTCAAGTAAATCTTCCGTCAAACTTCCTCCAGTAAAACCAAAGAGACCCAAATCAAAGCGTTCAGGGCGTATCAAGAATGCAGCAAAAACAAAGGTCATAGTACGTCGGTTACCTCCTTTATTACCTGAAAAATTATTTCTGGAAACGGTCAAACCTTGGGCAAATGAAGAAACCACTGATTATTATCGTTTTCATCAAGGAAGAATAAGTAGAAGGTAGATAATAATAATAATATAACAAGATTTAAATATGATATGATATAATATATTATAATATAGTAAATATATATTACTACCTTAGTAAGAACAAAGAGTGTATATTCTCTCGTGCATATTTTCATTTTAAGACTGTTGAACAAGTTTTGGAATTCCATCGTGCTTTCGATAATCATTTATTCATTGATAGAAATGGTAACCATTTTTATTTTTTATTTTTTAATATTTGTTTGTTAATTAATTAATTATTTATTTATTTTTAATATATTTAATTATTTATTGAATTATTAACTAAACTTAGGGGTAGAAAATAGAGCAGTAGTGGAATTCGCCATTTATCAAAAATTACCAAAAGAACATAAGAAACCAGATCCCAGACAAGGAACTATTGAAACTGGTATGATTCTTTTTTTTTTAAAAAAAAAAATAAAATAAAATAAAATAAATTGTTATTAAAAATTTTATTATAAAATATTTAAAACTGGACATTTTCCTTTTTTAGATCCTGATTATATTGCATTCGTTGAATCATTGAAATCCGAAGAATTTCAACTGCAAAATATTTCAAAAGAACCAGGTGTTCTTTTAGAAGGTGGTGCCACGCAATTAGAAAGATTAGAAAATCGATTGGCTGTAGCTGTAGCCAACGCTGCTGCAAATGTACCAGAAAAACCTAAATCTACACCTTTACTTGATTATCTACGTGCTCAAAAATCAGGTGCAAAATCAAAATCACCACCACCACTAACAAAACAACCAAGTATTATTTCTTCACCTGGATCACCTTCAAAGGGTGGAGTAGGAATAGGAGGAGGTGGTGGATCAAAAGTGAAACAATCACAAATCCGGGGTGGTATTGGTAGTAATAGTACTAATAATAGCACACCATCATCATCACAACTACCAACACCAGCTGAAGTTATATCACCACCTTCTAGCCCTAGTAAATTCGTTAGAAAAGAACGTGAACGTAAAAGAAGAGAAAAAGAAAGAAAGGAAAGAGAAAGGGAAAGGGAACGGAAGGAAAAAGATAAAATTGGTAACAAAGAAGTGGAAACAACTATAGATGAAAGTGAACAAGATAAAGATAAAAATAATAATAAGGATACTGTAACAAGTAGTAGTCAAAATAAAGAAAGTAGTTATCGTGAAAGAGAACAAAGAATGAGAGAAAAAAAGAGAGAAAGAGAAAGAGAGAGACAAAGGATGAAAGAGAGAGAGAGACATAAAGCTCAATCGGAAGCAATTAAAACTGAAACTCCCACAGTTACAATTTTAACTAAACCGGTTACTTCTACTACCACTACTACCACCACCACTACTACTAATGTCGAAGATTCTAATAATTCAACTGAACATAGTAAAGAAAAAGAAAAAGAAAATAAAAGAGCATCAATCAAAATTACAATTCAACAACGTCAAAAGGATCAAATTAGATCGATTATTCAACGACCTGCAACTTCTTTGGCTAAAAAAGAAAATGATAACAAGTCAACGGATAACGATAAGTCAACAGATAAAGACAAGTCAATAGATAAGTTACCAGCAGAGAAATCTACAGTTGAAAATAATAATAATAATAATAATAATAACTCAACTTCAACAACTCCAACATCAAAAGAACAAAATAAACCTTCTACATCTTCAGCTGTTACTACTCCAAAAACTGATTCAACAACTTCCACCACCAATAATACTCATAATAATAGTATGCCACCTCCATCAAGAAGACCTACTAGAGGTTATTTCTCAAAACGAGGCAGATGGTAAAAAAATTTTATTTTGGTAATTGAAAATGTACAACATATAAATACATACATAATACATATTATATCTAATAAATGACAAATAAAAAAAAATAATATAATGGAAATTATTTTTTTTGTGACAAAAATGTAATTTAACGTTAAAGATTCCAAATCCAAAATTGGATTTTGGAGATTTATTATAATGTGAATTCACAAAAAAAAAAACTTTTAGATAATTCAAAATAAACTCAAATATGTAATTAATTAATAATTTAAGTATATATATATATATATATATATAAACACGAAATATGTGTCATTTACAAAATATGTGCCAATTGCAAAAGATATGCTATTACTACATAATATCAAAGATAAAAAATATACTTACATACAGTATAAGATAATAGATATAAGATTTTAATATCGAACATCGAAGTCATGTTACGCGATTATTGAATCTAGAATCTAAAAGTTTATTATTTAACTTAAAAATAAAGTTAAGAAAATACTTGAAAGCTCGGCTCAGAATCCATGTAGCCTAATAATTCTTTTTAATAATATTATAATACATATATGCATATATAATTAAAATAGTTATGGATTTTTCGAAAGTCTAAACGTTTTTATGTTGATCATCTGATCTGAATCCAATTACCAATCACGTCACGATTCTCTGATTCGTTTATTCGTTCGTGTTATTCACGAGCTTTTTTTATTCAATATGTCAAGAAATATTCAATGTCCTATAATTAAAGTTATTCGTCAAAAGGAATTTATTTATCCAGCATGTAAAGAATGTAGTAAGAAGTTGGATCTCAATAAAATCGATTATAATATTAAAGGGATAAGTAATAATAATAATAATAATGACAATAATAATAATAATAATAATAATAACAAAAATGAAAAAAATAGACCAGAATTATTACCCGTTAAAGATAAACTTTCTTTAAACAGCATAACATGTGATCGTTGTAAAGTTACATGTAATACTTTAGATTTAACATATCGTTATCGACTCTGTTTATTAATATCAATTGATGATGATTATTTACAAAGAGGTAGATTAAATATATATAAATATATCTTTTATATATTATCCGAGTTATTCGAATTATCTGGGTTATTAACTTTTTTTTTTTTTTTTAAAAAAAAATTCTTTAAATTCTTTAATAATAATAATATAAAAGTAACAATATTTGGATCAAGTTTTGATGAAATTTTTGGATGTTCGGCAACCAAATTTAATAATTTCAAAGATCAATCATTATTGGATATAAATTTATTTGAATTCAATTATCTTGTACATAACGCATTAGATTGGATTTTATCAGGGGAAATTTATTTATTTATATTTAATCAAATACAATGGGATTTATTACAACAACAAAACTTAGATGATGATAACAATGATAATGATGATGATGATGATGATGACTCGAAGCAAAATAATTTAAATAATTGGAATAATTGGAATAAGTTAAATAATTTAAATAAGTTAAATAATTTATCAATTATCGCATCTAATATTCAACCTATGATAAAACCAAGTTTAACTGTTGTTGATTATATAAAAAATTTCGAAGACAAATGGGAAACTTTTTATCAAGGAAATAGTAATAGTAATAATAATAATGATAAAGAAGATGAAGAAAAAGAAATATTAGTGAATAATATTTATGGAAAAACTTTTGATGATGATGATGGTGATGATGATGATGGTGATGATGATGGTGGTGATGATGATGATGACAGTAATGATAAGAAGGAATTATTTTATCAAGAAAATTTGCATCAAAAAGATAATACATCTTTAATTAATAAAATGATTAATCTCTCTTTAAAATAAAGAAAAAAATAATAATAATTCACCCTAATTTAGTCTCCTTTCCTTTTTTATCAATAGAAAAAAAAATTCAAAATTATATTATAAAGGAAGAGATTTATTATTATCAAATAAAAAAATAAAATAAAATAAAATAAAAATCTATATGATTTAATATTTATTATTGATCGACGAGAAAAAAATTCTAAAGAATTATTATTAAAAAAATAAAGTATATCGATTATTGATGTGATGTTGCTAATTTTGTTGTTGTTGTTGTTTGTTTGTGACATGAATCAAAGATTATTTATTTATGTACACAAATTATTCCAAATTATATGTAAAAAATGAACTGGATTATAATATATGGGGAAATATATATAATATATATGGAGAAATATATATAATATATATGGAGAAATATGTATATATATATATATATATATATATATATATATATGTGGAGAAAGATATATGAAATAATGATTTAATGGTAATGAAATAATAATAATAATAATGAAATTTGATGAATCCCTATTCACAAAAATAAAAATAATAAACTTGCGATAATTTTTAATCTTTGAATTAATAAAGTAAATAAATGGAACAAATAAATGGAACAAATAAATGGAACAAATAATGGAACAAATAAATATAATTTAATTTACAAATAATAATAATTGTAATAAGAATATTCAATTACCCAACGCTTTCTTTAAATCAATCCATTTACGTTTTAATACTTCTCTTTCATTTTCACTTTCTGCATATTTCATTTTAATTTCAATTAACATATTCTCTAAATTTGTTAATTGATCTTCTAACGCATTATTCTTTTCTACCAATGTTATATTCTTTTGTGCTAATGAATTCATTTCTCCTCTTAATATTCGTTCAACTTCTGCTGGCTTTTCATCTAAACTTTTACGTAAACTTGAAACTGTTGAACGTAATTCTACATTTTCATCATTTAATCTATCAACTTCTACTTTTTTCATGACAAGTTCATTGGCCAATTCAACATGTTCACGACTTAATTGTTGTAAACTACCTTCTAAACTTTTAATATGATTTGATAAATGATGATTATTTTTTCTTATTTTTTCATTCGCTTCTGCTTCAAACATTATTCTTCTTTTTTCTTGTTCTTGAAATTGATGATAGGCTTGTTGATATTTATTAAGTTTCTTTGTGGTAATTCTAATATTAAATGCATCCATAACAAATTCATTGGTCTTGTATTGAATTTCTGTTGCAACCATCTGAGCTAAAACACCGGTTGGAATAATCTATAAAAATAATAAAATGATGATTATTATTATTACTTATCCATTTATTATTATCCATTTACTATTAATATATTATTATTATTATTAATCCATTTATTATTATTATTAATCCATTTATTATTAATTCGAAACTCACCTGATAACTCTCAAATAATCCACTCTTTAAATATTCCAATAATTTTTCAAATTCCATTTCCAACAATGCCTTTTCATTCTTTTTCAATAATGCAATACTGAATCGAAATATTGATTCAATTCCTTCGGTAAAAATGGTATCATAAATCCTAAATACCAAGGGAAGAGGAAATTTATACGCAAATAATGTCATGAACCATTGTGATGCATACATCGATGAATTTATTCCTTGTGATTTAAGATGTTCATGCAATTTAGGAAGCATTTCTTCAACCAGGCGATCAAATTGAAATAATTTCAATTGAAGACCATCCATTCCTGGTAAAAAGTGTCCTCGCATATTATAATATTTCATAAGTCTAAGGAGTACACAAAATGCTTCCTCATCTGGCATCTATAAAAAATTCCACATTATAAATTTTAGTTAAATTAATAAAAATTTCATTAATATTTCATTACGTCAATGTTTTGTTAATAAACTTACATTCAAAAGTAATGGTCCAACGACAAATGATATTCCTTGACAATATCCAACTTCTTTATCATAAAGAGAATACGCTTTCACCACATTAAATAATCCTTCTTGTCCAATTCCATCTTGATCTTGAAAATATTCATGTTTAGGAAATGTACGATTCAAATCTCTCATAATCATTTTTTCATGTGGACTGGTTTCCTTTAATAATTTGGCATATTTTGATTCTAATTCGCTATCTTTGGATTTAGACATTAATTGCCATATCATACCACGTAATGCTGGTGGAATCCCTTTTTGAATCATTTTGGATAATTGTCGAGGTTGAGATCTAGCAACTGTTTCATAATCTGAAATAAGTTGCCCCCAGAAATCTAAAAAAAAAAATAATAATAATTTAATTTAATAAATTATTATTATTATTATTATTATTAATTATTATTATTATTAATTATTATTATTATTACATTACCCCAATCAATTTCATCATCATTTGTTGATTCATTTTGTACACGTTCAAAGTTAGCTTTGATATCTGCCATTCCTTGAAGTGACATTCTTCTTGCTTTAGGATCTTCTTGCAACATTTGATTTTCTTTTTCAAGTCTTGCCAACAATAAATCATAATTTGATCCAGTCGACATAATTGATATAGTAGATAAACGACGATCTTCCTTTGGTGAAATTGGTGTACGTGAATTAAACAAAGATGAAAGCGTCTTAAATGTAGTAGGTGTTTTAGGAAATGACCAATCATTAAAACTCCATTCTTTAGGTGTCTCCGCGGAATTTTGTGTTTCATCATCTAAAGATATATCATTTAATTCGGGGTTCTCTCTAAGTGAAGCAACTGAAACAACTGAAACTCGATAATCGGCATTATTTTTTTCGATTATTTCATTAGTTAACTCATTTGAATTATGAATTGAAATTGATGAAAAACTACTTGTCTTTGAACTATTGAAATTTGAAAAATCGACTGACTCTATATCATTTTTTTCATCTGATGACATGGAATTAATTCTTGATGAAAAATTATCCGCCGATTTGTCTGCATTTTCTATATTCTTTACATCTGTTACATTTTCTGTATTCTCTATATTCTCTGTATTCTCCGTGTACTCCGTATTCTTTGTATTTACTACATTTTCCATATTCTCTTCTTCAATTATTACATCCTCAGTATTTTCAACAGGTTTATCATCGAGGTTATTTTGTCTTTTTTCTTCAGTTTGGTTAATAAAATCTATTGATTTATCTAAAGAATAATTTTCTAATTCATTTTTATTCAATTCATCGGTATTTACAACTGGTGATAATAAAGATATAGGTTCATCGCTCTCTTCTATTGCGACATCCTTGTCTTTCTCTTCTTTCTCTTCAATCATGTCTTTCATATCATTCTTTTCTATCTTTTCTATTCCGACTTCCTTTTCTTTCTCTTCTTTCTCTTCAATTGTGTCTTTCTTGTCATTCATTTCTTTCTCGACTTCATAAGAAGTATCACTATCATGATCTTTATTCGAAACATCAGTACGAATAGAATCTGTACTTGTACTTGATGTATGACTTTGATAATCATCCAAAAATGAATCAATTTGATCTTCTAAATAATTCTCATCGACAGAATAGACGGAAGAACTTTTACTATTACTTTCATTTTCTTCATGAGAATCGTAAATATCATTTTGAAATGAGCTCGATGATTTTTGTTCAATTTTATTGTTTTCATCATTTTCATTATATTCGTTTTGATTTCCTAAAACTTCAGGATCTTCAATGGTTAAAGTGTGGTTGTTAGGTTCATCTTTAGGATTACTGATAGTATCAAAACTTACTTCACTCTGAACAAAGTGGTTTGTACTTAAATTATCTTGTTCATTAACAAGGTTAGTTTCAACAACGGCTGACATTTTTTTATGGGTATTTTTTAAGGTATTATTGTTGTTATTAGTTAAAAAGTATTGAAAATATAAATATATTAGACTACAAATTTGGCTTGAGTTTAAAGAGTTTTACTTTTCGACGACAAACAAGAGGCCTAGGCTCTTGTTAAGCATCAAACAAAAGTATTTTTTACGATGTAAGCGAAGATGAGGTGAATATAAAAGATTGTATAGTGTTTAAAGAGGGTTTAGTATGAAAAAAGACAATAAATTAATAAGGCACTCGAGACTTTTATGGAAACTTATTGATATCTCGGTCGAAACAGGTAATTTCAGTCGTGAAACAAATATTACCGTTTTGATCAATCATAATATATAACACACATGGGCATGAACCAGGCGACATATGTAAACTGTTCTGTTTCTCATAATTCTCGTCGTGCAACATATGATAATTGGCAAACAAATAATATATATCACATGATTTTGAAATCATATAAATTTTATTTCTATATCTAGCCAAGCTAATTAAAAATTATCGAACCAAAATACGAGCAAACTTTATTGTACCATTTTTCACAAATTATGTAAATGTATGAACGGTGATACAAACGCGCTTTTTTAATTTTTTATTATTGTAGACGAGAAAAAACTAGATTTTATTAAAAAATCAAGTAGACCCGGTCTCGGACTAGGGATATATGAGCCGAGCCGGTCAGGTCCGGTATGAACCGGTTTGACTTGAGAGTCGGTTTAGTCCAAGTTGATGAGGTCAAAGAAATGGGGTTGATGGAGTTGATGGAAAGTCGATGGAGTCGATAGTAACGACCTCATCAGTTTGGCTGTAGCTCGATCCAGCTCGACTTTGACTTCAAGTCGAACCAAGCCGGACCGTTACCTAGACCTAGGATTTATTTTAAAGTTTAGTTAGCATCAGAAAATATCGATGTTACTGGGATGAAACACATATCATTTTGTAGCCAAGAATAAGGTCTTTAGAAATACCTTAATAGAAAATTGTTCTACGCTTTGTAAATCGTGAGCGAAGTCGAAAAACGTAAAAAATCCTCCGGAGTCCTTCGTTAGAAACGAAATCCTCCGTTGATCATCGCCTATTAATATTCGCGGAGTTATTCTAGTTTAAAGAAACGCGTCCGTGAAAAAATCGGGCCAGATTTTTTTTTGGACATTTTTTCTTTAAGCCGGAATAACTCCGTAAATATTGATGTTACCAGGATAAAACACATATAATTTTTGTAGCCAAGAACAAGGCCTTTTTTTCTATCTTAGAAATACCTTAGTAGGAAATCGCTCTACGCTTCGCAAATCGCGAACGAAGTCGAAAAAAGTAAAAAAAAATCGCACAATTCCCGGAGATTTTCACTTTTTTTTTCGAATTGCTCGCGATCTTCTACTAAGATATTTTTAAGATAGAAAAAAAAACCTTATTCTTGGCTACTATTCGCGGAGGTATTCTGGTTTAAAGACAAACGTCCGTGAAAATCGTGCAAAAATCCGCGAATATCGATGTAATCGGGATGAAACATATTATTTTGTAGCCGAGAACAAGGCCTTTCTTTATGTCTTAGAATCACCTTTGTAGAAAATCGCTCTACGCTTCGCAAATCGCGTGCGAATTCAAAAAAGTGAAAATCTCCGGAAATTTTTGCATTTTTTTTACGTTTTTTCGACTTCGCTCACGATTTGTGATTCGTGGAGCGATTTTCTGCTAAGGTATTTCTAATATAGAAAGAAAGGACTTGTTCTTGACTACAAAATGATATGTGTTTTATCCCGGTAACATTAATATTCGCGGAGTTATTCTAGTTTAAATAAAAACGTCCGTAAAAAAATCGTGCAAAATCTCTAGAAAATTTTTCGCACGATTTTTTCACGGACGTTTTTCTTTAAAGTGGAATGACTCCGCGAATATCGATGCTACCAAGATGCAACACATATCATTTTGTAGCCAATAATAAGGCCTTTCTTTCTATCTTAGAAATATCTTAGTAGAAAATCGTTCTATGTTTGTAAATCGCGAGCGAAGTCGAAAAACGTAAAAGATCCTCCGTTGATCATCGCCTATTAAAATTTACTGATGTAGTTATTTTTTTTTTATAATAGATTTTTATTTTAGTGTAGTGGGCCCGCGTGTTACTGTTCCGCAGATCGATATACATTTCTTGGATTTAGGGCTATTGTAGAAACCAATAATTTTTGTAGGGCAATATTTTTACTAACTTATTTAAGTTAAATCACGTAACGTGACTTCAATAGTTCAACGTTATTATGTAATAGTAATAGCATAACATATATTTGTTTAAATAAAGATTTATTGGAAAAGTTTACGTTTGAATTTTTGAATGTTTTACTTATACTGGCATTTTCAAGTGTACATATTCGCAAACGAGTTATCGATCACATGTCTTTTCTTATTTATCCCTGGCATGATTTGAAATAGACCTATAATTATGAACTAATTTGTATGCATGTTGAATGTAAACATTGATGATTGTGATCCCAATTACGGCTAAAGGTTTTGAATTATTTACAGTCCACTCCACACCGTTCCATATTTTCTTTTGAATTTCCTGTAAAATTGTCAATTCACCCTTCCGTACTCTGATAGGAGTGACATCAATAACTTCGAATGGACATTTTGCACCTAGGAATTCAGTTGCAACTCTAATACCAGAGGTGAATCCATCCTCGTGAAATCCATAACCAGTCCATGCTCCAGCAAATGTTGTTTGTAAATTTGGAACATTTTGAATATGAGAAAGAAACTTTTGCGAAGAAATTGTATCTAAACAATATTTAGGATGATCGTAAATCTGGGAGTCAAATATTTTTCGAGAATCAAGTTCAGAAGGAGGATTAAGGGTTACAAGCACAGGACCATAAGTTGATTCACCGATAGACTGAAGAATGTTCATTGAGTATGTTCTAAAATAATAATGATTATCGTTAGAAAGATAAATTTATGAAACCTAATATAATATAACAAAAAAAAAAGTGAAAATCGAAACTTGCAGAGAGACTTGATTCAGCTTTTTCGATGTTCCAGTAGACTTGATGATATAATTCCGAGCTGAATGTACAAGTCGACGTGTCGGCATCAACTAGAATTGGATTATCGATTAGTCAATTATGTGTGAACTATTCTATACAAATTTACCAAATTTTCTTACCGATAAATCAGAATGTAACACTGAACGATTCTGACTAAATCGAAAACCACCCAACACCAACTTTTCTTCATTCGTAGCATCATTGCCCAATATCCTTAATGCCTGATCTGCATGTACAGCTAATATCACATGATCAAATTCGTCTGCCCTTCCACTTTGATCAACAACGGTGATGATAGGTGGGGACTCGGTGTTACTCAGATCAGGTCGTCTTTTAATGGATACTACCTTGGTTGATAATCTAATATCTTTAATGTGTGGAGTAATAGTTTCCACATATTTTCGACTATGAATGTGTACAAAACTTTAGAAGAAGAAATATTATAGTGATTATAGAGGATGAATTAGTATACCTTCCACCTTTTACTGTAAACCAATCAACACAACCCTTCACTTGTAATAAATTTTGTTTATACATAAATTGGATTAAGGCCAACACTGGAATATCAAGAGTACATTTATCAGGAGGGGTTGACCAAATTGCTGTAGTCATGGGCTATTTATTATATAACTAAAATTATCAGTAAATTTTTCTTTAACTAAAAATGTCAATTTAAATTAATTAATTATCGCTAGACATATACCAACAAGTAATTATCCTTGAATGCCTCAGAATATTGATGAATCCTAAGGTATTCTCCCGTACTCATATTCCTTTCTTCATGTTCTTCACTCAACTCCATTAATTCAGTAGCATGGAAATTGAATCTAAGAATATCATATAAAATTTTCCACAGTTCTATATTCCATAAATTACTCAGTTGGGAAAACACTGTGATCAAATTCCTTCCTGACCATTCGAAATCCCCATTATCTCTTGAAACTGAAAAACTCATTTCAGTTTTCATCAATTGAATATTTTTATGTTGAAAGAATTTAAAAAGATTAGGATAGGTAAGATTATTATATACAATGAAACCATTGTCAACTGGTATACTCGAATTCTTGGTGCTGGGAACAACATAATCGACAGTGTGAGTATGACCACCAACGTAATCATTTTGTTCATATAGAGTTATTTCATGTGGTGAATGCTCGGAAAGAAGCCACGAGGCACCCAAACCAGAAATTCCGGAGCCGATTACGGCTACTTTTTTTGATTTTTGTTGCGAAGGCATGAATACCAAAATTTGCAGATTATCAAATGATGCAAATTACAATCAAAAATTTCATTGGCTGATTTTTCCTAAAATATGTCAAGCTTGATGACGCAATGAGTTTACAAGGTCAACTGAATCATTTGTAATTTTTGCGAAGCAAGAAATTCTCGAACGTGACAATGTTTGGACTTGTAATCTTTTTTTATTTAGCTTCTTACTAACCTTCAACTTCTAGTCCTTATATATAATATTTAAAAGAACAAAACAATAAATCATATCCCAGATTTTTTGGTGATGACTCATCATTGTCAAGTACATACAGTGACGAAAATATTGCATAGTAATAAGTAATAAAAATCAACTGTATATATGATTGATAAAACCAATATTCAAAAAATTTTATTGATTTATAATAAAAAAATTTATTCTGATTATTAATTATGATGTAATATGATATGTATTAAAAATCTTCAATTGACCAGACTGAATGAAGTTATTTGGTTCACTTTTTGCACAAGTGGTTATGATACCTTTTTTGTGTTTATCTTTTTGTGGGATAAATGGATAGGGTGGAAGAATGCCAGAAGAAAGATTAGACACACTCACATCCAAATCATTGTGTTCTTCGCGCAGTTTATAAATGACATCAGTAACTTCCAGTTACCAACACTATAAATTAAGTAAATAAGTTGATGCTAAAGTATGACAAAACATTAAATTTTCAAAAGAAGGAACATTACCCTAAGATCCCACAAGACAACAACAAAATCAAAGATACATTTTCGCTTATCTTCAAAGCAAATAGGAACAGTTGCCCTATGTGTTCGTTCATATTGTAAAACACCATGGGACGGAACATATATTTTCCAAAGTTCAATCCGATTTTCTAAATGCAAAGGATAAGTACCCAAATTATAAAAAAAATCTTTAAGAATATTATATTACACCTACCATAAGTGTGCAGAGAAAAAACACTTATTTTTGAAAATGTCTCACAAGATGCCCCTTGAATCGTTCTCCAATCTCCTCCAGCATGTGTGAAAAACCTTTATGCCCTAACAAATAATCTTTTTAATTATCTCCATTCACTTTTTACTCAAACAGGATATTACACCTACGCTTTCATGACATGTTTTCTGTTGTAAAGAGTAATTTCAGAATTCCTCAAAAATAAAGAATAAAAAATTGTGTAAAAAATAAAGATATACCAATTTCAAAAGTTTAGATATAGTTTCGAAACAACTAGAGATAGTTGAATATCTTGTGAATCCTTGAATTTCTGCATAATCTTCAGTACTACACAATACAGGTTTTGCAATTTTAAAACCACAGCAAACAATTCTCCAGACTTTGGGTCTAAAAAAAAATCCGACATTTTTATTAGCAAATTTGACCAAAAGATTAGTAATAACTTTTCTGGAGTCTAATTTCTATTGACTCCAATTATCTTCATTAAAGGATTACACAAATGCTGGTATTGTTAAATCTTCATCAGTTTTCTAAAAAGACAGATCAGGATCAATTTCTGTACTTTCTTCATAATTTTAAGACCAATATTATTATTTGTACTCTAAAAAAAATCAGATTAAAATTATTGAAAAAAATTATTTTGGATCCCTAACCTCAATTGAACTAAATGTAAAATTTGAATTTAATGATATGCTATCACTTGGTTTTATAGAAAATTTGCATCAATATTGTATCAGATGAATCTGAAGATAACAAAGATGAACCTGATGATCAATTTGTAAAGGTGTTGAGAGGATTAAAATTAAATATGCTTGAAGAACTTGTTAAAAAGACAAGAGAACCAGACATATGAAAAACAAAAGGATGAAAATGATTTTATATTGGTTTTGCAAAATCTATACTGTAGTAAGAGAGTGACTTAGAAGAATATAGCTTCACACAAGTCAAAATTTGAATATCAGATATCTATCAAGTACCTATTGGCCTCCTGATATTTTTAAATATCAGATAATTATCAAAAAATTATTGGGCATATGAAATATTTTTATATATATTAGGAGTTCGATATCTACATTTTTTTTAAGGGTCTGATAATACTTTTATAAATTTTAAAATGCGTCAGATAGCTATACAATAAATTTTATTTTAATCTCAGGTATCTAATATTTTATTAATATTGAATATATGATAATAAATAGTAATATTGGAAGCATGATATTTTTTTTAGATTCATTTAGGTACCCAATATTTATAGTAATATTGTAAATCCAATATTCTTTCTTATCAGGTACATGAGAAAATTTTTTATCTTATCTGTTTTTTTAAATTTTATATAATTTATCAAATTCCCAATATTATATTTTAATTAAACTTAATTCATCTTTATGTAGTATATACTTAAAATTCAAGTTTTCTACTTGAAGTTGTCTTTATTATAATATAAAAAAAAAAAATAAAAAAGAATAAATTAAATATTAAATCTTCTATTCAATTAAATTATTAATATATAATTATTCCTATTTTCAACTTGATAATTTATCTTAATAGTTTTACCATATATTCTATACATTACAATAATTGAATTTTGACTTTTTTCGTAATATTTTTCTTTTCATAATTCTGTATTTTATACTTCAAATATCATAAACTTATACTTAAATTATATATTAGAGGAATATACATTTTTATACCATTTGATATATGCTGAAAGATGTATTTTAGTTCCTTTTGTTAGAAGTGTAAGTGTATACTCAAAGTAATATTATATCTCTCCAGAATAAATATCACTTGTCCTATCTCTAAATACATTCTACTTCACTAAAATCACTGCATTATTTTTATGTCAACTTGTGACTTTGAATCCAAATATTTTATTACATCAGGAAATTTTTCGGGCGTAAATTTCCGTAACACAAACGGGACCCACGGAAATTTACACCCAAAAATTCAATTTTTTTGACTTTGGTCACAATTTACGAGACAGGAAGCGATTTTCTACTAAGGTATTTCTATGACAGATCGAAAGCCCTGGTTCTTGGCTACAAG